AGCCTCATGGCCTCTTACATCGCAGTCTGTACATGACTTCCGCTTGCTTGATTCGTGTACAAATTACGATCTCAGAAGCAAAGAAATGGCTGACAAGCAGAGACGCAACTTCCGATGAATTTAAATAGAATTACGATAAATAGAAACAGTCATCTTCACGATATAATCTTCTAAATACGCTCCACGGACATGAGTTCAAATAAATAAAAAATTACTGGACTTATTTCTAGCTAACGTTCCCGCTTTTGAAAAAAGAAAAAAAAAAAATGCAGGCTTACGAGTATGTGATCAATATGTTTGTCGTGTGTATCCCCCGTTATTAACTTTTCAGTGCCTGAAGAAGTCTTTATGATATTTGGTATGTATATCATGATACCAGAGCCCATCTCAACGTCGTACTTCATAGATCCCTTCCATCAGTTTATCTGTATGTGAACCACCCTGTCGTTGCTAGGCAACGGCTAGATAATACGTTACGGTAGCAACGAATACACACGCAGTAATAGAAGAATTGCTGGAGGCATCGTTTTATATACGGTCCGTGTTGTATCAAAGGAGATTCTGTGGGTCTGTATGTTTATCTCCTTATAGTTGCTAGGCAAAGGCTAGGTAACAAAAATTTACAACGGCAACGAATACACACGGAATAATAGAAGAATTGTTGGAGACGTCGTTTTCTATGCCGTTCGTGTCGTATCAAAGGAAGGTAGGAGATTAGGTCGTTGCAGAACTTCTATTTATGAAATTTGAGATCAAAAATTTCCGCTAGATTGTTTGGACAGATTCCATCACAGGTCAAAATCTGATAAAATGTCAACTGATTTACATTAAGCTTTGTATGCGTTTCTATGTGCACGTCGACCGGAAGTCACAAAATATCGGGTGTCCGGATGAAAGGTATCCAAAATAAAACATTTATATCTCGGAAAGTAATTGTCATACACGTATCCGATTTATGTCAACGGAAAGGAAAACCCTGTAAGTTTTGTTTTACTGTATTTCTTAGTGTTTGCACTCAATATTTGAAAAAATGCGGGTAATTAAGGCGATAGGGTACTAGAATTATTACATCATGTGTATCTCTCTCTGGTGCTCATTTCTGTTAGAGAGTGAGTCGACCCCAGGGCCATAGTGCGGCTGGAAGGATTAGGTCAATTGAAAAGAATCCAATGACCTCATCGGGACTTGAACCCGCGACCTTCCGGGTTGTTTCCTGGAGAGTAAAGCGCGGCCAGCGTGTAAGGCTGACAACCTAACCGCCATCTTTGAGCCGATTGTCTAGATAATGTGGGACCCTCAACGTCTCACAACCCTATGGGCCTTCACGGATTGTTACAGGGATAGCTTTACTTTACTTTTACTGTATATCTCTATGGCTCTACAGCCCTTTGGACGTTGGCCACTATTTCAGTTTCTTGAACGTATACACAGTCGGTAGGACTCCATGGATGGGGGATCAGCCCGTCGCAAGGCCGCTACCTACACACACAACAACATAAACACAAAATAAACTCATATAGACATTCATGTCTTTAGTGGGATTCGAACCCACGATCCCAGTGTTGGAGTGGGCGAAGGCAGTGCATGCTTTAGACCGCTCGACTACCGAACTTCACCGGCAGACTAAAACGATTTCCTAGTGTAAGTTGATGTCTGTCCATTTATACACTACAAGCTTCAATTCTTGAAGTGCTTACGTTTCAATGACATCCTACAGGTTCTCGGGAACACGTGCCGAACACTGTCACTCTTGACTCATGTTCGAGAGACACCCATTTCGAATCTAGGCTGAGTTAGCGACTGTTCTGTTAGAGGTTTCTCATGATTTCTTATGATATGCATGCGAATACCACAGAAAGTATATTGAAAAACGAGTCAAGTACCTCATTCCATGCAACTCTGTAAATCAATAAGCTCTGTTATTAAAACAACGTAATTAGAAAGCACAACAGCTAGTAACATAGAATAGCAAAGATATTGTAGCGTATAGAGCCGTTGCTATGCAATGACGGCGAGATAGTCGGATTTACCAGGGCCGTTTCTAAGCAACGTTGTTTACATTCCCTACAGAACGTACAATACTTTGTAAGAGGAGGCACCGACTAAATAATTAACATTAATATTACTTCATCTACATCACAAGCCTCCAAAACATTATACACGCAAAATATAGAATACTTCAATTTGTCCGTGGGAACGCAACAAAATCTCACAAAGCAACGACTGACTCGATGATGTGAAGCATCAGTTGAAGAATTTTGTTCTTGTTTTATACTATAACTTTGTTTTATATAGTCTAATTTATTATATTTTTACGCCAAGTATTTTAATATAATTAATATTATTATATCCAATTTTATTAGTACTGCAGTTCAGTGGTGTATATATGTTAGCCATGTATTTGCCTGATGAAGGCTTTTAATAGCCGAAACATGTAGCAGAGCCAAACTAGNGGATCTACCTCCGAGTTAGTTCCGAGTTAGCCAGCAACCAGCCAGTTGTATTGTGGCATTTGGAGTGTACTAATTGTGATACTGCAGATAGCAGTAATCGTAAATCTGTAATTTGGGTGATTGTAAGTGCGAATGTGAAATAAAATTCGCTACATCGAATACATCGAGAAGTTATTTGTCGCGATATAAGCCCGATACGCGACAGTATATACAATTATATAGTAGAAGAAATGTAAAGCTNCTGATGATGGCTTTTAATAGCCGAAACATGTAGCAGAGCCAAACTAGGCACTGACCTTAATATAGTTGTGTTGTGACGGTTTTAATAAATAAATTACTTTCTACTTTTATCTAGATAATTCAACATCGCAAAATTTTACTCTGAAATCCCGAAAGAAAGAAACCACTTACAAGACATAAGCGTAGATGATAAAATGTTAATTTGTCCCTGTGCTTAATGAGTTAAGAACTGTGCCATGAATATGTATGGCGGAGTGGAAGTATAGCTCCACCTTTCTTGACCTCGGCACTAGATGGATGTGAGTGGTTAGCTTCACGCCCCGACCTCGTTACTCCCGGGGAAAGAGCTCCCTGTACCCATTGCACTAGACTCTGTGGCGTCATATCCCACAAGATAATACTCTCCAACGTTCAACCTGTATAAGCATTAATTTGTCTCGTAGGTCTCCTAGTTTCCTTGTCCGTCAGAATCTTTGGACTTTAGTGTCGGAATGTTCAGTTGATATCAGTAATAATATTAACTTATTTCTAACACAGAGACTCGTGCGGTTTATCGCATGTCAGAAACATGAGGACATAATGTGAAGATAGTGACGTTATCGCCGAGGGCCTCAAGTGTTCTCTGCTGACAAGTTTGACACCGAATTATCAGGAATAAATAATTTAAGTCCCTGACTAATGACAGATTGTCCAAAGCAGAGCCTTTACCTTTTATGACACTTTTTACCTTTAGAAGACGAAGTTAGATACGAAACACCAAGTTTGGCTTTCCGCCATTGTTATTACGAAACACACACCTCAATCCAGTGACGTACTTCGACGGGTTTAGGAATAAAACACTAGTTTATATTAGGAGACATGCCCATTTAAACATAAGCTCAGAAAACAGTGTAAATAGTATGACGTGCCGCCAGGAAGACCGGACGATAAGACGTCCATCACTGGTCAACGGCTAGAAATTCCTAGGCAGCAATGCCTAGGAAATCATTGCCCCGGAGATGAAAGTCTAACAGTGGGGTTTCCACGGTTACTAACGAACTGTTTGAGGCAGACACGTATTCCCGCGACAACATGGAATTCGTTGCATAGCAGCCTGCGAAATTAACCCTTCGACAAGGTGTTCCCTATTTAGTCCGCGTGCAGGATATGAGAGTTCGTATCCGATGAGAGCTAAGTACAGTTGAGCTCCGAGCAGAGCAGAAGACCCTTCACCGAGACTAGCGGTGCGAGAGTGTATAACATTGAAGAGGAAACGTCCGAAAACGTTATAAGCACGAATAGTTGTATTTATGAGTGCAAAGAGTGTGCGCCCAATAAATATGTGTCCAACTCCGAGACCCATAAAATTTCTGGTCGCGTTGCCTAGGAAATACGCGGCAATATAAACGTCGTTACATTAAGTTGCTCAGGCTGTTAATTAATTTTCTTTGCGCCTTGTATAAATGAACAAATTTCTTCACTGTTCTTATAAAAATTAATAGTTTTCCTCCTTTTAGTCCCGTTTAAAAGAAATAAAACTTGATGACTATAAACCCTTCTTTACTTCAATTTATAATTACATATTTCGTCCATCTGTGAGCTGATTGTATAGAAAATATGGGAGCCTCGTCATCTCACAAACCTCTGGGCTTCTTTCAGGGATATATTTACTTTTTTGTAACCTTTGTAGCAGTTCGAAAACCCTGATTTATTTCTCCAGACTTGTATAGTAACGTTGCATTTACCACAGTTCAGTATGCACTTATTCGAAATATTTACTGCGCATTGTATTCGCACATATTTAAATTGACAAGATTATTTGAATAAAAAATTTCCAAAAATATGTTTAATAAATTCGTAATTGTAGATTGTACACAGAAAATACACAGTTAAAATTTAATCTTTAAATGTTTGGCGCGCATTTTATTGTGGGACTTTCCTTTACAGAATGCAGGACACAAAATCGATACGTTAAAACCCCGACATGTGTCTTACACCTCAGCTGTTTATCGGTGTGAAATTGTTACTGAAATTCTGAAGATATCAGTAGATTCATTCATTACGTCAGAAATACGTCACAAGGCTAAACCATTCTCCCTTCTCGCATACATACTGTCTCTACGCACGCTCGAATGTTCACGTGGAATTGGACTGAAATTAGCTATCTGTGTTACATCAGCTGATTTGTCGTTGACTGAGGGCCAGCTGAGCTCGGCCTCGACCAATCATATTCAATCTTGATTTGCCGCGCGATGTCACTATTGGTTGAACTCGCACTTCGCGTCTGCTGCGAGGGAAATCTCGCCTCCCCCCACTTCTTATGAGGAATTCAGTGTTTCCGCCAAAGAGTCTGCAAGTTTACAAGTTGCACGTTTGACAATATGCGACAGTCATGATTTGATCGCGCTTTTGTTTACAGTATTAAAGAGACGGCCGGCGGTTTGTTTGCCAACAGTTCAGTGCAGAACGCAAGGGATTCACATCAGTGTTGTATTCTTAGCGGCATTTCGTTCCACCGAGCTGTTCGTGTTGATCTCGTGCTCCACTTTTCTGACCGTAGCACAAGAAGACATGCAGCAAGAGCAGGAAACTGCTGGAAAATCTAACTCTTCCGGCCTATGGATATTTGGTTATGGATCTTTATGCTGGCATCCTGGGTTTGAATTCGATAAATCTTTTATCGGATACGTTAGAGGTTTTTCAAGGAAATTCTGGCAAGGGAATACAACTCATAGAGGAACCGAAAAGCAGGTAAGCTTATACGTATGTTTTGTACTTCTGCACCTGCACTCCTAACATGAGACACTGAAATGTAAAAATATTTTGATTTTAAAACCATAGTGTTATCTCTTGTGGAGTCAGGAGAGCTCAGCGAAGGGCTACGGACTGGAAAGCCGGGGTTCGATTCCTGACACGAGCAAGAGATTTTTCTTAACTCCACAGATTCCAAACCGACTCTGGGGCCCACCCAACCTCCTAACCAAATGGGTAAAGATAAAAAGGTAAATTCGCCCCTGTGCTTAACTAATTAAACACTATGTCATGAAGCTGTATGGGGGAGTGGCTGTATAAATCCACATAGATTATCCACTACTTGGAGGTGAGTGGTCAGCTTCATGCATCGGCCGCTTTGCCGCCAGGGGAAGAGCCCCTGGTACCCATTAGATAGGAGGCGGAGTGGACCCCAGAGCCAGTCTGGACGACGTGGAGAAGAGAAATTCTTGACCCCTTCCAGGACTCTAACTCCAACCCTTCTGTCTTCCAGCCCTTAGCCGGTCGTTATAGCGACTGAGCTACCCCGGTTCCTGCTAATCAATGGGTAACGGGTTTAAAGCGGGTTAGAAGGTCGCGGTTCGATTTCCGACAGAAGAAAAAGATTCTTTAACTCCACTTCGTCCAGACCGGCTCAGGAGCCAAACAAGCCCCTTTACACAGTGGGTGCCAAAGCGTCCTGGCGTGAAGCTTAACAGTAATCCACAAACGCCTTCGTGGCGTGGTACTAAATAAACTAAGCACAGAGTAATTTCTATATTACCTCAATGTTATCTCCGAAACGTCGGTGCATTTATGATGTATTACACGGCGTTACGACTTAGGAGAACATTCTTTTCATAATGGCCGTTGTGAGAAGCACAGATCCAGCTTGATGAGTTTTATGCTTTAAGATGTGACCTCTTGTAGACCGGAGTAATTTCGCAGATTTTTCGGAGGATTATTCTGCCTCTATTTTCAGGGCAAAAGTTTAAGTCTGTTAGAAGGACATAGGCAGCAAACCGAGAGCCCTGCTTCTTCGGTTTACTCTGCTGTCCTGAAGATGGATGTTCTCCCGAATGTCGGAGAGTCTCTACTGGACTACATGGTGTCATAACCCAGAAGATAATTCCACATCTTCTTTTATATTATGTTAAGACATAGTCTCCCATGTCTGAGTGGCATTTTCCGACCGCCTCTGTGGTCTAGCGGTCAGACTTCCTGCCTACAGATCCAGATGCCCAGGGTTCGATTCCTGGCGCTACCAGATTCTCTGAGAAGTACTGGATCTGGAACGGGGTCCACTCAGCCTCGTGAGTATAACTGAGGAGCTATTTCAAGAAAATAGCGGCTCCGGTCCAGAAAACAGAAATTAACGGCCGTGAGGATCCGTTGTGCTGACCACGCGACACCCTCTATCCGCCTAAGTTGGTACTAACCTCGCCGACAAGACGTGGTCGCTCGGTCGGTATAATTCGCTTATGGACTACAGGCCACGGAGTTTATTTTTGTTGTTTTGAGGGATATATTCCAAGCTGTTAGTCGTAGAAGTACGAAGATAACATTCATCTTGCTATTGAGCTGCGAAAGAGCTGTGTGTTGTCATATATAAATTGTACGAGTAATAGCCTTTGAATGTTTATTGGTAGAAAAGTAGTACTTTAAATGACATTGTTTTTTACTTATCGTCGTAGGGAAACGTGAAAATAGTTAATCAATGACTATGAGCAACATCCCTTTTCTAAATTGTCCCTTGACTGATGTCCCAGTAAGACTGCGCCCTCTCATGAAGTCCTTGGAGGATATTTTAGTTCCTGAAACTCGTAAATCCCGAATGTTCCTCTTAAATCTAAATATAGATCAGAATTCTACAAGTAAACTGCTAGATCAATGCCCTGAAATTAGGCGCTTTCCATTTCCTGTAGCAACGATTTGTCGAATGTGAACACTTACTCGAATGTTGTATAAAAAGATGACGAACGAGCGAACAGTCTTTTGTTTCATTGTATGATGTATTGATAATATTTTGATGTGAATGTGTTAAATGTAAAAAAAAGAGACAAAGTTATCCCTGTAACAGGCCATGGAGGCCCATAGGGTTGTGAGACGGCGAGGCTCTCACATTTTCTAGACAGTCGGCTCGCAGATGGCGGTAAGGTTGTCAGCCTTACGCCCGACCGCCCCTTACCCCCAGGAGGATTCATGGTACTCATTTCTGTTGGAGGCTCAGTCGACCTCAGGGCCATAGTGCGGCTGGAAGGATTAGGTCAATTGAAAAATCCAATGGTCTTATAGGGATCAAACCCGTAATTGTCAGCTTTATTTCCTTGTTCTTTTTTCGAGAACACGTGAATTTCTCTTTCTTTAAATAAAAACTCTTATTTCTATTAATAATATCTCGTTAACAGTCTTCATTTCGCAGTAGATTAAACTTTATTAAATATTTTGTCCTCCAGTTTTTAATCATCATTTTCATTTGCATCTTCGCATATCAACACCAATTCGTAACATCTTCAAAAGTTACTTAATCTTTTTAAACCGTGCGAATATGGACTTTTCGGAGGTGCATTCTGCTACAACATTTAAGGACAAGGTTAGTAGGAAAAGCCGGTATTGGCCTCCGCCCCTTGGGTCTGTTGGACCAAAACTATATATGCATGAACACTAACTCAACCTGCTCGCTTTAATCTCGAAGATAGAGGCAGTATGTACCCCCGAAATGTGGGAAACTCTTTCAGTATTCACTCCATGCAAGGGCCCCCCAAAACTATTGAAATCCTTAACTTTGTTTTTTCCTTTTTGCTGAAAATAAACAAAAACTTGGGGACCACGCGAATTTAAATGTAGTCTTTGTGAAATGTGTGGGATGAGTACTTATTTATTCATCCCTGCTTTTGTTTTTAGGAACTACAAAATGGACGAAAGATGAAGCCAAATACGAGAGAGAGAGTCAGTATATAGGTCATAAATGGATATAACACTTAAAACATGTGATATTCGAACCTGGGAAAAACATGTATTTCTCGACATATCCTCCACCAACACTGACACACTTGTCTCATCGCTTTACCAGTGGGTCGAAATCCTCAACATAGAAATTTTTTACAACCTCTTCGTCATCAGCGAAACCTTTGCCACGTTTCTCGACCCATTTGCGAATTGCTTTACGCAACAAACACTTCCAACCGTAAACAGGAAACATTTCTTTATGAATATCCTTTGCACTGACTCCTTTAGCCCACAGAAAAAAAAATACACAACAGAATATGCTCTTCGGTAGTACACACCTCAAGCACGGCCGCCATTTCGAGTACTGAAAGCATTCCCTGCTATCTAGACTGTGCTGCTACCTAGCGATACAGATGTAAAACCATTTACATATTTTTACAGCTGTTTTACTTCCATTTTAGACCTATTTACTGACTCCCTCGTATCTCCGGTAGGCATTCGAATCCATGACCTCTTAATTACAGAATATTTCTCATCGTCCCAATATCGAATACATGTTGAATTTCTGGATAAGCTAAATCTTATTTAATTTCAGAATTACTTGGTTTTTGATCGTTTTCCATCGTCCGGTATTCTAGAGACTAGAAATCAACAGATTATGCCTACCCCAGCGTCAGCCTCCAACGAATTTATTCTGTCTTTCCGAACACATTCTCACAGGCTCAGAGGAAGCAGTCCTCACGAAATATTTCAATTTTTCCGTAACTTATGCGCACTCCAGCCTGGATATGGCATGTGCTGTGGAATCCGTTGTTTCCAAGCTTCCACAGTCCCTGGGTATGGAATGGGGCGGAAAATCAGGTCCATGTTAGAGAAGTCTAAGCCTTCCAGACCTAACATGATCATGAAGGAATTGAAAGGTGTAAATTCTTTGAGGCTCAACAAAGATATTAGACTTTTTCAGGCCGACAGGAGCAACTGCACAGTGGTGTTTGATGAATCCAAATACAAGGAAAAGTTGAACGCTTTGTTGGAGTCCGGGGTTTATGAACCCTTGCCAAAAGATCATACAACTGAAGTTGAGAGTAAAATACAGAGACCTCTTTCCAAGCACAAAACTACTGTCCCCATTGATCTAAAACAGAAAGTTACTCCGTACCACAGCAAACCTCCGAATCTGTATGGTCTTCCCAAACCTGACCTTCCTCTGAGACCTGTAGTGACTTCAACTGGTTCCCCTTGGTATGCCCTTAGTCGGTTTTCTCAGTAAGATAAGTCCTCTTGCTGGAAAATCGGAATCATTCGTTAAGTATTCGGGCCCTTACTTTGTAAATCTTCAGATACCCTCATCATCTTAGACGTCGTAAATCTTTTCACCAATGTTCCCGTCGACGAAGCCCTACAAGTCATTAGAAATAAGCTCCACGACAATGACGCACTGGCTTAACGGTCTGCCTTCAGGTCGAAGCCATCATGGTGTTGCTGGAGGTTTGCCTGAGAACCACACATTTTCAGGTGTACAAGTTCTTCCAACAGAAAGATGGCATAGCTCCCTATCACCCGTTGTTAGCAACATCTTCATGGAACATTTTGAGAAATCGCTGTGGCACCGGTATGTTGGTGACACATATGTGATCTGGCCTCATTATCCAGAGCGGTTACAGAGTTTCCTCAGCCACCTCAATAGTTCAACGGTGTCCATCCAGTTCACCATGAAAATAGTCAGATAACGCGACTGCCTTTCTTGATTTTCTGGTCATCAGGGAAAAACGACACTTGCCACCAAAGTTTACAGGAAACCCATCCACACTGGCCGATATTCCAACTTAACTCTAACTGTTCGCTGCATGTGAAAAGGGGTTTGATTCGGAGTCTGCACAACAGAGCTTCCACCATGTGCCAAGAACAACGAGATCTGTATAAAGAAATCGGCAGCCTGAGAAATGATCTCCCGCTCAACGGTTTTCCCCAAGGTTTCATTGACTAGTCATTAATTCCAAAGTTATCAGCCGTCCGAATAAAGAGCAAAGGCCCCTGGGCTCTCTATATAT